ATTTCGCCACGTCAATCCACAAACCCGACGTTCAAGTCGGCCACGTACGATCACCCAAATCATGCACTTATTTTATCCAATCCAATTAGCACAATTATATCTTAATATAATTAAATTAAATCACGCTCTAACCGTTCTAAACCCGAGACAAGTCATAAAATACCCAAAGTACTAAATAGGGTTTAGAAAGTCACTTACTTGGTTTTGGCCCGGAGAAAATCGGCTCGGGCCTAAAATGGCCCGGGTGAACAGTACAGGACTAGGCGCGGGCGCGGGCCAACGAGCGCGCTGACCGGCCAACACGGGCATGGTGGCCGATCGGCGTGCCTGGCGCGCGAGCGCGGTGGCCGAACGGCGTGCCCGGGGCGCACGGCCGAGCCGGGACGGGCAAGGCGCCGGGCTGAACGGGCGAGGTGCCGGGCGGTGGCCCGGGCGAGCTCGGCCACGGCTTGGGCCGCTCGGCCACGACCGGCCAACGGCGATGATGCGGACGGTTGAGCTGTTCCGGCGAGCACGGCGGATGCAAGTGGCTGAGCAAGGTCGCCGGGGGCTGGGTGGTGGCGGACGGAGCAGCGGCGGCGGCCGGAAAGGCGGTGCGCGGCGGTTGGACGAGGCGGCGCCGGGGAAGAGAAAAACAGGGGAGGCGTCGGGGAGGAAGAAAAAAATCAGGGGAAGGGCGGTGGTCGCAGCCAAGGGGGCAGCAGGGCGGCGAAGGTGGTTGAGGGGAGAGGCCGGGTGGCGTAGGCGGAGCGGCGGCGGCCGGAACGGCGGCACGCGGCGGCGGCGAAGCCGGGAGCTCGAAACAGGGAAGGCGCCGGAAAGAAAACAGGGGGAAAGGGGAGGTCGGGCGGCGGCCGGAGGCGTCTCGGGTGGTCGGGCGACAGAGGACAGGCCGGCGGATGGCTAGGCAACGCCGGTCTGCGGCAGACGCAGCGGCGAGCTGTTACTCGCGTGCGGTGCGCGGACAGGGGCCGGCGACAAGCGGACGGGGGCCGTCAGCGGCGGTCGCGGGGCGACGAAGCGGCGGCACGGCTCGGTCAGCGGCAGCGCAAGGCGAACGACGAACGGTGGTGGGTCGTGGGCCGGGCTGGTCCGGTGAGCAGCAACGGGGAGGCCGAGTTGTTGCGGCGGAAGAGAAGACCAGCGAAGGAAAGGAAGAAGAGAGGAAGAAAAGAAAAGAAAAAGGAAAAAGAAAGAAAGAAAAGGAAGAGAGAGAGAAGTGGATGGGTCTGACAAGGGAGGGGGCAAACGTGCGCATGGGGAAAAGGTGACCGGAGAGAGAGAGAGAGAAAGAGAGAGAGAGAAAGTCAAACATCATCATCGCGATCCAACGGCCCACGATCGAACTCGAAAACGATCTAACGGCCCACGAAAATCCTAATTAATAATATAAGAAAAAGGGCCAAAAGAAATAACCCAAAACACACTACGAGGGAGGTCTACTAGTCCAAATCTGCACCCGGTCAAAAATCCACTTTTCACATATTCCGGGTAATATCGAGGCTGGCCACAATAATATCGACACCGTCCAATCAAATTCGTCCCGAAACTCCAAGAAATTCGACACCAAAGTTTGGGCTCTAAATAACGGCCAAATTCGATCGAGTGCGATTCTAGCGAAATCTCAATTTTAAAATAATAACCGGGAGTGATCAGTTCCCGGGCGAGATTTTTACTATAAGCACACTGACGAATTACACGTTTTATAAATCCCAACTATGGGTCGAAATTCGGGATGTCACACCTCATTGTGGATAATTTGATTAATCAAATTCTAATTGAGGAAGATTCTTGAGATCGTGAGGCTAATTATAAGAAATAAGATGCAAACAATGTGCAATTTGTTGAGAATGACAACATGAGTAGAGACAAAAAAACTAAGTAAACAAATTATTATATGGTTGAAGCAAGCACCAAAACAATGCCTGATGATATTATGATATGTATTTAAGCATAACAATGCTGGTAAGTGCATTTACTCAAAATTTACCAGAGAGAATGGAATTATAATCTACTTATATGTAGATGACATGTTGATGGTTGGTACAAAAATGCTTGGCATAAATGATACTAATTTGGTATCCATCTTCTCAGTTTAAATGAAAGATTTGGGAGAAGTTGATACAATTTTAGGTATCAAAGTGATTAACATAGTGGGGGTTTTGCTTTAAGTCGAGGCCACTATGTGGAGAAAATCATTCAAAGATATCGGCACTTGGGAATTAAAGAGTCAAATGTACCATATGACGTGTCAATTAAATTGATGGAAAATACTGGCCAACCTTAAGCACAATTAGAATATGCTGGTACAATTGGAAATATGATGTATGCTAGCTTTTATTGTTTGTAAATTGTCCAAATTTTAGTAATGCTAATACTGTGCATTGGAAGGTCATAAGTAGAATTCTTGGTTACTTAGTCTTATGGAAGACAGTCGGTAATACTAGAAGGATATTCATATGCTAGTTATCCAACTATCACAATTTGATAACAAGTCAACATCTGAATATGTTTTCATTCTTGCAAATGATGCAGTCTCATGCGCATTAAAGAGGCTGAATAAAAGTGGAATTTGCTATTTGTTGACACCTAAATTTTCACCTAAGAGACTTCTTATGAAAAATTAGGGATCAAATTTGTTGATAATGATATAATTTGACCCCTAAACATAAATGTCTAACATTGCATAATCCTGCATTTACATTCTTTATTGCATTTTCCCACATTTAGAAGGACGGGAAATATTTTGGTTCGAACATCAACTTGGACGAAATAGTGAATTTTTGTTAACCACCCCCTTGTACGACCCGTCCCTAATTTTCTTTCTATATTTTATTTCTACCTCCATCCAAATGGCATTCCTTACATACCATTTCTTGAGGATTATCTTGTCCGACAATGTTTACCTTGGCAACATGCTCTTATCTTCAAGGTGATTGGTTATAGCTTTGAGTTTAATTATCTGAAGGAAACTTTCGTGCATCAACATGGGCATCGCAATCATCATCGTCATCCTGATCGTGTTCAGGACATGGGCATGGAACAAAGAAGAAAATAAAACAGAAAAAGAAAAACCAAAAAGCAGAGATAGGGAATGGTAGAAAAAGAGAGCAGGGAATGGGGTTCTTGGTGGAATATATGGGCAGGCTGAAAATGCGTAGATGAAAACAGGGAAAGAGAGAAAAGAATGAATAAAGCTACTTTTTATTTTTTATTTTTATAAAAATAGCAACTTTTGATTCTAAGACTAATATGGCCTAATGAACTTGTTTTGCCAAAAACAGTATCCGACAAAATACTTTTCACCGAAGTTGGCTCTTTGGCTTTTTTGTACGTACTGGGTTTTGTAGCGGTTCGGAAAGGAATGATTCGGTTCTAACTTAGCAAAAATTAAGAATAAAGAAATAACGAGGGCGAGTAAAGGGTAAAGATAAAGCGAATAAAGGATAAAAGCAATGTGAATGCAAAAGATAACTTGCGAAATTGAGGATGTGTTGTTTCATTGATTGATTTTCGGATCCTTACAACAACACTTTGTTGGCTATTTATAGCCAAACTAGACAGATAACAGTCATAGCGCTTACTAATTCAAATTCAAACTATTCCCGGAACATTCAGGATGTTTCCAAGTAACTGCGCTATGTTTTCGCAAGGTGGTTGAACTTCAGTCTCCATGGATTCTTGGGTAGTTTGTCTATCATTTGCTATGCTGACTTTTGAATCCTGATGTGTACCGAACCGTCAGTAACCGCGGTTGTCCTTATCCACAGACTTCTTTTAAACTCGGGGGTTGAACATCTGGTAACACCTTTGGACTTTATCGGTTTGTTGTGGCCCATGAAGGTTATTTTTTGGTGTCAATAGAACTATCAATTATCATTGAACTATGTGCAATGCGGATGATCCATGTAATGCAATTATCATTTTTATGAGAACTATGCATAAGCATATATGAAAACATATCGATTGGAAACTTATTACATAGAATATGGACAAGAGTTAGAGATGCAGAATAATATTAGAGATTTAAGCATAAGAATATATGAACACATATTGTTTACAAAAATATTACCAAATATAAATAAGAATTAGATGCAGAATTTGAGATAAAATTTGCATATGAATTATAGATGCATAGGATTACAGGTGCTGATGCCCGTCTCATGAGATGGTTCATTCTTTTAGGGTTTTGCCTCTTTCAGTGCCCTCACTCCATTTGGGTGAAATTTTGGGGACTAGAGTGAAGCGACGCTTGTAGGTGAGGCAACCTTGCCCATATTTGCAGGCTTGCCCAAATCTGGGTGAGGCCAGGTGAGGGCTGTGACCCTCATCTGCAGCTGGCGCCTCGCCAACCACAATAAAAAAGAAATAAAGAAGGAAAAAGGAAAAAAAAAGAAAAAAAATATTATTAAAAATTATCTATATCAGCAAATTCTAGCCAACATTAGCCGAATGGACTCAATTGACAAAATTTAAAAAGGTTTAGAATCCAATTGGCAAAATTGAAAGGTTTAGGACTAAATTGACAAAAGTGTAACAGGTTTAAGATTTTTTGGATAATTTTTCCAATAGATTTCGCCGACCATGGCGAGATATATATAGAGCACAGGCGCACATCCTTGCGGCCTCTATGATACAGGCTTACCACATCGAGTAGCTCGAATATGGCATAAGAATTAAGATCGTTTCATCCATGCCGATGAACTTGCATTTGATTAATAGTGTCGATTGAGTAGTTAGATAAATTTCTATGATGCTTATTGAAAAGCTCTCTCTTGCTCAACATCGAATCAAATTTGCCATTTCCGAAAAAAAAAGGTAGAAATTGTCTAAGCCCACGTCCAATTATCGGCACCATGAAGGGGGTGAATATCGACTTCTGAAGGATGAAATGAAGGGGAAATTTTGAAGCTTCACGACAAGCAGAAAGATCATGTTTTATTGAATTGGTCTTGGACAGTGACAACTCAAAAAACATAAGAAGGCCCAACATATACTCAGAAGTCCAACTAATTATCGGTATTAAGACTAAACTCTTAGAAATGATTTATTAAGTGACATGACGGATTTTACTCAGATGTTGGATACGATGATCCACTTACAGTTGATCACACTTTGTAAAATAGTTTGGAATGCCAATATTAGTGTACTACGCATCATTAAGATCACAAACAAGCTTCTCAAAGGTATTCATGGCTGAAAGTGGCAATCCCAACACCACCGCAATGCCCTTCTCTCTCCCGTCCGTCATAAACAAGCAATTTTGCCTTTGTATGTCACCGGTCGCAAACCTCGGCTCTCCCCACCCAAAGTCTGTGGAGCCATACTCGAACCTCGTCCATGAACTCATTAGTAGTGTGTCCACAGGGAGTCCCCCTAATCGATTATTGTCATAATAGTCGATCCTCGACTGTACGTAGCTGTCAGTCGCACTCTCGATTGCCTTCTTTATTCTTGTTGCAGAAGCAAAGATTGGCTCCTCGATCAACTCTCCCTTGGTGCAGAGACAGCAGGGCCAGACCACGGTGTTCCCAAAGTATCCGTCGGGCAATGGTGTTCTTAGTCTAGACCTGAAGTTAACCGCAAGAAGAAGCTTTGATTGTTGGTGAAGTTTCATATTCAGGGCTATACTGCGAGCCCGCCACACAAAGGCTGCCAGTGCCACGAAGTTGGTGCATTTGCTCGTCACCTGTTGCTCAAGATGAATAGATTCCGTTTTTGGTGACCAAATATTCATGTAAGGCTTACTTGATAGCCATAAATGTAAGTCATATAAATGTCTTGATAGATTCAAAAATTTACAACTAACATGACAGTGTAATCAATCAAACTGTAATGAATGTACATGCTAGTGGTCCACATCAGATTTTCTGGGATTTAACTTGGCAGTGGTATTCCATATACATTGGTCAATCAAAACAATATTTGGGAAGAAATGATCTCATGAACGCAAAGTTTTAGTTGCCGTCATTATTTAAAAGTTGCAGAGCAATGGATTCAATTGAAAATTTAGTTTGATGTATTGTTGGGTGTATTTGCATTTTTTTTAAAAAACGAACTGTGATTTGACGTGTATGATATACAAAGATGTCCATGAATACCACCTATCCGTTATCACAGCACATAAATTTACCTGTTCGTCTTTTGTTGCCATTCTTTTTAGGGCCGCCAGCTTCTCAGCATTGAAGTGGAGAGCTTTATATACAAATTGTTGTTCCTCGTATAATGCCGTCATGTTTGATACATCACTTATGTGAACAAATTCGTCGTAAGGACCCGTGATTTGAGGAGGCACCCATGATTTTAGGATGGTTCTATCATGACAAGGGACGATGGATAATGGCTTGCCTCTTGCTATTTCAGCCCATGCGTTCATAAAATTCATTGTCGACACGCCATCTGCTATGTAATGGCTGAGTGCGATCCCTAAAATGAAACTTCCACTTCTGAATTTTGTCACCTGTGATTTGCCTCTAAAGTAAATAATATCTCAACATAAAATGCAGAATTAGTAAATATGGGGAAAATTGTCCAAAACATCATAAACCTATTGCACTTTTGTCAATTCAGTCCTAAAATGTAAAACAAGTAAATAATATCGCTGGTCTAGGGTTAGAAAACAAAAAGAAAAGAAAAAAGAAAAAGGAAAAAAATGGAAAAATTATTAAAATACTATAGAAATTGTCTACGTCAACGCCGGCTGTGCCACATAGGACGGCCGACGTCCACGTTAGCGATTTTCTGCCAAAATTAATCAGATGGACTCAATTGGTAAAACGTGAAAATATTTAGGACTCAATTGATAAAATTAAAAGGTTTAAGACTGAATTGACAAAAATGCAATAGATTTATGACTTTTTGAGCTATTTTTCCAGTGTGCAAAAGTTCTTGGACGGATCGAGTTTATGCACTTTATGTCCATGTGAAGTCTTGCATTCGGTGGGAATCACCGGATTTAATGGGTTCAGGGTGGATGCTCTTGACCATACCAAAATCTCTCGACTTCTTTCCATAAAAAAAGGAAAGATTTGCCTAGACTCGTAACTTTGGATTTGATGAATCTCAATTGAGACTTTAGCAAGACAAGTTTCTACCAATTAGGAAAAGTTACTGTCTCTAATCTTTATGGTAAGTTAATATCCGTGTGTATATTTATGAGTTGGTATTGGATTTGATATTTTGTCATAGCATTGAGAAAGTTACTAATGATGAAGATGCCAAATTTTCATTATTTTTGGATACACAGAGAAGTTACGTCGAAATAATTTTGTCATCGAGAGAGAACTAATTAACTGGAGCAATAATTGAACTTGCTATTAAAATTTATATGTATTTTTTCAACATGAAAAGTTACTAATCACACTAGAAAAATAGCTTATTAATGGGTCCAAATATATTAATAATCGTTCCTTTGCCAAAAAAATTAAGTTATCCACCAATTGTTTGGAGAAAATACTAGTTACCTTATGTAGATTATTGCAATACTAGATGGAAAGTTACTAAATGCACCGGAGGAAATACCTGTTGCATAAGTAAGTTGAAAGTTCCTATTTACCATAAATAGAAAGTTATTAATTAACAATATAAAAATTTGCTAATTACTATCGAGTTTTTCTAATATGAAAAGTTACTCGTCATATAAAAAAAAATAGCTACTAATAAGTAGAAAATTATCATCTCTTGAATCGTAAGCAAAGTTAACGAATCTCGAACCTAACATCAGCTAGTTCAATCGATAATTAAGTCTTCCAAAACAAATTCACTATCATACTTAATTGAAAGAACCAAATGGAAAGCACTCTCAAGCATAAACAAAATAAAAAGATTGTTCCTTACCTGTGCAGTTAGAAGGGGGGCAACTTCAAGTATATGTTGCATAGGATCTCTGTAGACAAGCTTATCTAAAGCATCAGGATCTACAAGTCTCTCATCACCCAGATTTTCGATGTCACAATCAGCCGTTGCCTCTACGAATGGGACTCCTAACTTCTTTTGGCAGTCAACAACTAACTTCCCTCGAGAGTTTCTAGCTAATCGCCCCGCAACTGGATAGTAATGAACCAGAACTCTGGCCAAGGCTTTCTTAATCACGTCTACCACATTTGAGTCACTCCTATCGAAAGAATAAACGTACAGCATCATCATAGGAGCCATTTGATCGAGGCTAGTTAAGGAAATGGAACCCTCCGGTGTTTCGTGTTCTGGTAGGACCACAGTGGGGCTGGATCTTTCTATTATTAAGCTGCTGTTCTTCGCGGATGCCTCCATAGTAGAAGACTGGAAATTTATATCCTGCTCTCTTTCTTGAGAAAAAAAAATTGCACTGAGAAGTATAAACAAAGTTGTTTCATAGAGAGAGACCACATGCAAACAAAACCGCTATACATCTTGTATACATGCCCACAAAATCAAAGAGGAATTTAGTAACTTCATCTTCACTCGTAGCTTGGAATGATATGCAAGAAAAACCATGAGGAGTTGAGGAACAGGAAAAATATGAGTAAGAGTATATCCACCAGCGATATGAATCTCAAAATGGAGTATGGAGATTGAAACTTTAATCTGGTTCCATGATAGAAAAGTCACTTCAAAAGCTTAAAATATGTTGCAGGTTTCACAATATGCGTTGTCAATCACACATGTAGCAACACATCAACCATACATGCCAAACGAATCTTACATGCACAGCACAAAGATAGGCCATACATGAGCTTTGGTGATAGTAATTCTTTTTTTTTGCTTGGCCAAATACAACGGACAGACGACTAAAACTCAGACGAAAACCAGCATACCTGTAAGAACTGGAGATATTAGAGACGAAACACTTTGATTTGGCTTCTCTTTGCGGATCCAGAATTTATAGTCGTGGCTTCTCGAGTTTTGGCATTGAATATAAGATAGTTGCGACTTGGTGCAACCTCTACTATATTCTGGGTAGGATCTCCGTAAACAAGCTTTCTAAAAAATAGGGCTTGGAAATATGGTGACCAAACCAAACAAATTTAAGAATTGGCAATTTGTTGTTTGGGTGAACATTGACCTTAAGTTCGAGACAAAATATTAAGTAGGCCGGCCGCTCTAAAACCTCTAGTATATTTTGGGTAGGATCTCGGTAAACAAGCTTTCTTAAAAAATAGGGCTTGGAAAGGGAAAAGTGTCAAAAAAGTCCTACACCTTTTGCATTTGTGCCAATTTAGTCCTAAACCCTTTTTTGGTGCTAATTCAGTCCTAAACCTTTTGCATTTGTACCAATTGAGTCATAAACCTTTTTTTGGCTCCAATTCAATCCTAAACATTTTGTATTTGTGTCAATTCAGTCCTAAACCTTTTGCATTAGTGCCAATTGAGTTTTAAACCTTTTTTGGTGCCAATTGAGTCCTAAACCTTTTGCATTGGTGTCAATTCAGTCCTAAACCTTTTGTATTTGTGCCAATTCAGTCCTTCCGGTTAATTTAGCTCAAAAAGATTTACGACTAAATTGGCACAAATACAAAAGGTTTGGGACTGAATTGGCACAAATGCAAAAGGTTTAGGACTCAATTGGCACCAAAAAAAGGTTTAAGACTCAATTGGCACAAATGCAAAGGTTTATGACTGAATTGGCACAAATGCAAAAGGTTTAGGACTGAACTGGTACCAAAAAAAGGTTTATGACTAAATTGGCACTAATGCAAAAGGTTTAGGACTTTTTTGACACTTTTGCCGGCTTGGAAACGTGTTGATCGAACCAATCAAATTTAAGAATTGTCAATTTGTTGTTTGGGTGAACATTGACCTTAGCTTCACAACAAAATATTGGGTAGCTGGCCCCTCCACTAAAATTTAAAGATCTGGCACTGAATATGAGATAGTTGCATCATGGTGCGAATACTTTCTTGGTTCAATTATTTTGAGGGGTCTACACGCACGTTGTTCATCCGTTTATCGCGCCACAGTTCTTGGTTTAGAATTACTTAAAATTTAATTAGGACTTTTTGCTTGGATGAACGTTGACCTTCACGTGCTATTCTCCGAGGTTATACATTCATAAGCGCCTGGCATTTTAGTTCCCCAAAAAAAAGTAGCTTGATATCTTTGATCATGGGATGAAAAAACTTATATAGTTTACCAAAACAGAGCAAAGCAATTGCAGTCTAACAAAGGGTGGGACTAACTCTCTGTTTTTTTATATAAGAAAAAAGGGTTGGAGGTTTAAGTAAGAAACGAAAGCGTATTTCATAATTTGATCTCCAATAATTAATATGCATGTACTGTGTAGAATTATTGAAATGATAAGCAACCTCTCTCTCGAAGCTGTTCATGGCTTGTCAATATACATTTGGACCAACTCTTGGAAAGTGTTCATGGCTGAAACTGGCAAACCCAACACCATCACAATGCCCTCCTTGTCTTTCCCGTCACCCAAAAAATGGGATAATTATCCAAAAGGTCATAAACCTATTTTACAGTGGCTAATTTTGTTATAAACCTTTCCAATATGCTAATTTAATCCTAAAGTTTTTAACGATTTGCTAGTTTAATCCTAAACCTTTTAATTGTGTCAATTTACTCCTGAACCTTTTGAAGATTTTCCAATTTAGTCCTAAACCTATTATTTGGATAATTGGCAAGAAAGACTACATTGGCAAATCATTAAAAGATTTAAGACTAAATTAGCAAATCATCATAAGGTTTAGGATTAAATTTGCACAATTGAAAGATTTAGGATTAAATTGGCAAATTGTCAAAAGGTTTAGGACTAAATTGATCCAATTAAAAGATTTAGGACTGAATTGGTCGCCGTACAATAGGTTTAGGACTTTTTGGATAATTTTCCTAGCCAAAAATGCATAATCAACTCTCGACTGGTGACCAATGCCGAACTGCCTCGGCTGTGCCCATCCAATGTGCGTCGAGTCATTATCCAGTCTCGTCCACAAAATCGGCTTTATCATTAGAAGTCGAAATTGAACCGAACCGTCAAAAGCCCATTGTTTTACTTACTACCTAAATCGCAAGGAAATTCAATTTGAAAGATCTAAATCTTTTGTTCGGTTCGGTTCGGTTCGATTCGGTTCAGTTTGGATTTCGGTTCAGGCATTTCTTTTACCCCTAGTTAGAAGGGGTGTAACTTCTAGTATATTTTCGGTAGGATCTCTTAAAACAACCTTCTCTAAATACTCAAAATTGAATGCTCGTACATCGACCAGAATTTGCAATGTCACAATTTTCCATTGCCTCCACAAAGGGAACTCCTAACTTCTTTGGCAATCAACATCCAGTCTCCCTCGAGAGTCTTTGGCTAATCTCCCTGCAAGTGGGTAGTAGTTGCGAACTAGTTTGTTATCATGAAAGATGTGATTATTAAATATGAAAATAAATATGGACATGAAGAGAAGTGATGGTTGAACACGAAAAGTGAGGATAATGTACTCATTCCCAAGAGATGTGTGACCAATTATACATTGTTCATTACAACTATTCTTCACAACAACTCTCTCTTCTTCACAACATTCTCTCCTCTTTTCTCACACAACTTTGACAGTACATTCAAGGTGAAATTCCTAGAGAGAAATTGAGTAATTTGCTTTTCTCGTTTCTTAGTGGCTTTGGTGTGTATCCAGATGGTATATTTGTTTTAAAACCGGTGACAACAATAGTGTGGGGAAATAATACCTTAAGGACAGTGATCGTCATTACACATCAAAGCATTTAAAAAATATAAACTAATACACTATCTTAATTAGATATGAAATTTCCCCATCCTAAGGTATTATGACCATGGAGATGGAGACAGTGGCTGCATCAAGTGTTCACAATCTTGATAGATAAGTATTTATGAAAGTTTTGTTTCTTTTTATATGCTTGCGTCATCTTCCTTCCTTGTGGCATAATAGATTATCTCATGTTGTTGTACTAAATTGAAATTTATGAATAAAAGTTGTCACGCCCCGAACCCCAACGGGCTCGCGACACCCCTCGAGGGTCGTATTGAACGCGACGTCCCAGGACACGTCGCCGACCCAAATGAAACACCCGAAGACAAATGCAAGCGGAAGCGGAAATCAAATAACCCAGACAATAAATAATGACAAAAGGGTAGTACTTGTACAAATCAATAAACTCATATCATTAGCTTGAGACCATAATTTCATACAATAGGCTCCTAAGGTTAGCATATACCTTCATCATAAAAAAGGAACAGGTGGTAGGGTAGGTTAGCTAGCTACACAAAAAGGGCTCCACCAAAAGATTCTAAGCCCGGCACCCAAACGTTCCTACAGTGCCCAATTAGAATGGGACCCTGTAGACTCCGACTCCGTATCAGCTTCGAACTTGATCGGCTCTTCTTCGGGCTCCAACTCCATGGGCTCTCGTTCGGGCTCGGACTCAGAGGGTTCAACTACAGAATCCAGCTCCGGGTCAGACTCCATCGGCTCCGGTTTCGGGTCAGGGTTTTCAGGGACGAACTCCGGATCGATGACTTCACCATTGGGAGGGACAACTTCCATTGGGTCCCAGTCCCCAAGCCTTGCCACTAAGCCTCCTTGGGGAACGTCAAATCCTTGTATCGGCCCCACCAATTCTGTAACAGCCCGAATTTCGATGTAATTTCCGGGATCAATGAAACTGATATTATTTCGCATTTCATTTTAGTAAGTCTCACCCAGAGCTGATCACTCTCGGGATACTAACCAATAGGGTATGGCTAACTAGAAGATGGTACGTGGACCGGGGACCCTATCGCGAAAGGGATACCGATCACGAGAGACTCTGAGGAAATATTTTGGGCCAACGTGAGCCGATCTTAGGAAAGGTAACGGATTTGGTTTGGCCAAGGCCAACGATGTACGATTGGGACGCAGGTGATTCTACAAGACCAAAAGTGCACGTGGTCAACCAGTCCGGAACTTGAACCTAATGATTGTGACCTCTGGAACTAATGATAATTTCTCATTCTCTCAATGATCGAGACCGTCACGATACGAATAGCCTTAGGTCGATACGCGTAACCTCTAAACAGCCACCCGTTAGTGAGAGACTCTGAAATTGAAAGTTTAGCGGGTTTTGTTCACGGAATTGGGCCCGGATTTCGGTATCGATTTTCAAAGGCTTAAGAGACTATTTTTGGGAATCTGACGTCATATTACGCTGGCCACTCACATGTGGAGTTAGTACGAGTAAAAATTGGAATTTCGGTGCCGGGGTGAAAAATTACGATTTTGCCCCGGGATGCCGCGTCGCTTTCGAGGCCAAATGAGGTTATTTTTCGTGGCCGATGCCATTTTTGGGTGGCCACGCTTACCAGGAGTCATTTTGGACAAAAACTGGAATTTCGACAAAAATTGGAAAAATAATATTATTTTATTCCCGAAACTTTGACGTGGATTTTCGAGGGCTTGCGCGATGAATTTCGCGATTCCGACGCCATATTATGTTGGCCACGCATATATGGAACGCGTATGTGCGAAAATTGGAATTTCGGTTCGGGACCGGAAAAATGACGGTTTTGCCCCTAGGCCATTTTTGGTTCCGAATTTTGGGAAAATTTTAAGGAAATTAATTAAATTTGGACTTATCTTAATTATGGCAATAAAGGACCTAAGTGCCCATGAATTATTGGATAAGATCTAATGTGAACCATTGGATGAGGGGTAAAATGGTCACATTGGCTTGATTTTTGACACTTGGCACCCCTAGTCTAGATGTTTGACCAAGATAAACTCTCTCTCTCTCTCCTCTCACCCTCATTCTGGCCAGAACAGCTCCCTCTCCTCCGTAGCTCACTCCCCCTCTTCTTTTTCTCTCTTGATTTTGCCTTGCCGGAGCTTGCCGTTGGCTCACGGAGACACGCCGCCGACCGCCGTGCCTCGCCGTCAACCCCCTTGGTCCCCCGCCACGGCTCGGCCTCGGTTCCGTCCATTTCTCTCTCCCTTTCCCCCTCTTTT